CACTGTTCTGGGCCCACACAGTCCAAGCTGGACCTGTCCCCCACCGTCTGTGTTCTATGAGGCCAGGCAGGGAGGTCAGCGGATTCCCCTGGCCCTGGGCTGTGGTGCTGAGTGTGTCCACCTTGTCCCCTGTCATGACCTTTGGCTTGTCTTCCTAAGGCAAGTTCTGGTCAGCCCCGACCCCCACAATGGCCCTGTGCTCACTCTTGGCAGTTCTCCCCTCCAGGCTACAAGTGTACCACCCCCTTCCACGGGCCTGAGCCCGGTCTGTACCACTCACTCTGCCCCCTCTGCAGGCAGGTACAACTGCCCAGCCTTCCTGCCAGCCCTGGGAGACCCAGGAAGGGGAGTGGGGTGGGTGTTGAGCCCGGATCCACTCTCCCCTTTGTCCGGCCTCCCCAGGCTCCATGACTGCACCTCCTACAGCCCTGGCAGCTCCCCACAGAGAGAAGGAAGGTTTTTAAGAGGGAGCTTGTGGGTTCTCTCTTCCCTCTGCTGGCCAGTCCAGGGACAGGGATGGAACCCAAGGGCCGCCAAGCACCCTATAGAAGGAGCTAGGGCCTGTGGGTGACATCTAGGGGCAGCCTGGACTGTCCCTTGCACACGGACCTGAGAGAGAGGCCTGTGGAACAAGCAGGCAAGCCTGTTTCCAGAGAAAGCCCCTCTGCTGATGGAGCGCTGCAGTCCTAGAGTGATGGTGGTGGCGGTGACCGCGACCATCAGAGTAACTCCTACGGCTTGAAGGCACTGCTATGCCAGGGCTGGGGGGGGTGGTACTGGGCCTGCATGGCCTCCCAGCCCCAGCGGGTGGGGCAGGTTATTCACATCCTCGTTTTACCACTGAGGACAAGGAGGCTTGGGGAGCTGACCAATTTGAGTCAGGTTCCTGGACTAGAAAGATCTAGATGTGGACAGTCTCACTCCTGAGATCCCTGTCCCTGCCAGCATCTGTGCTGCCTTCCAGATTCCAAGAACCAGGAGACTGGTGAGTGCTGAATGGGAGAGCGAGCGAGAGAGAGAGAATATGCAGGGGTCCACTGTGGCCCCGGGCTAACGTGCATCCTCCCTTGGCTTCCCGGCTGCCACCCTGTGGTCCCCGTCTGGACCAGCTGGGCTGACAGTCATCTTGCTATTGCTGATGGCCCTGCCCTCAAGGCAGTATTTGGCGTGGGCCTTCTGGTCTCCGTTTGGGGGAAGTCCTGGCTTAGGCATTTGCGCAGCGGGCAAGGCCGCCGGGCCAGTGGTGGTAGAGCCTGTGTGTGGGTCAGCCAGAGACACAGATGTCGGGGTTGGGTGAGGTGGACGCTGGCCCCGGAGGCCTAGCTTACATGTCCCCCATGGTGGGTTCTCCTACCTGCAGCCCATGCCCATGCCCCTGCCCACCAGGGATGTTCCTCTCTACCCTGTCTGGCCATCCTTGGCCTCCCTGACTTCTCAGACAGCTGTCCCCTCTAGAAGCCCTCCTCCAGCTCTCCCCAACTCCTCCTCTTCTGGAGACTTCTATCTCTCCAGCCCAGCCGTCCCCTGCAGGCCATCTCTAGCTGATCCATGAAGCAGAGGGCTGTGAGTGGCCGTTGGTTCACTGGCCCCATGAACCCCAGGCACTTTCTTCCCTGGAACCGCCCTGCTTCTCTGGAGAGTGGAGCGTCCACACCCGTTTTATGCAGGAGGACGCTGAGGTCCTGCCTGTGGGTGGTGGCGAATGGGAACCCAGAGAGCAGACCAAAAACCCATCCTGCTCCAGCTGCCCTGCAGCTACCAGCTGAAAGGACAGCAAATTCCCATCCTGCCTCTCCCCATCCTTAGACTCTGGCTCAAGATCCTTCCAAGGAGCGAGATGGGGGCGGAGGGGGGGAGGGCACACAGCTCACCTGGGGGCACGTGGCCAGGGCTCTCATCCAGGATCTCCATGGGCTGCCACAGCAGCTGCACCTGTCTGCCCCTCCCCTGGAGGCCTTGGGGCTCGCAGGCCCCTGCTCGGGCAGCCGGTGCGGGAGAGGGGTCATCAGCCATCACCGTGGAAGGAGGATGGCAGGGAGTAGTGGAGCCTGGTAGAGAGGCAGCAACGGAGCTCTCCTGGAGGGGGCTCCAGAATCCTGCTCCCCCCTCACAGCCCCCCCCCCCCCCCCCCCCCCCCCCCCCCCCCCCACACACACACACAGTCCTGCCAGGTGTAGGAGGCGACATTCTGAATCACCCTAGATGCCATTGGGCTGGGAAGCAGCAGGTTGGAGATGGAACCAGAGGCAGGTGATGGGGCCCTGGCGAACCCAGAAGAAGGCGGCGTGCCCTCCTGGTCTGGTCTTCTCTGCCCTCTGCCTCCCCAGAGGCCAAGGCTTCTTTGGTGCTGGGATCTCGCCGATTCCTGCCAAAGCTGAGCCCTCCTCGGGGCGGGGTTCCTGAACCCCAGGGTGTTTCCCTGGCATTGGCCTTTATGGTTTCCGACGAAGGCAACGATAGAACGTTTTATTTTACCTTATTGTAACTGTAAGGTCATGGGTACAAGGAAAGATGAACCCTTAAAAACATGACCTCAGTCGCCAGACATGGGCACGGCCAAAATCGGGACCACGGTACACAGGGCTAACGTCCAGAGAAGTTGACCTGGATCCTGGAACAAAGCCCTTCTTTCCGAGCTGGGGAAACTGAGGCCCAGCCTGGGAAAAGGCCCACCTGCGACCACACAATGGCTGGACAGACAGGGCGCCCTGGGCCCTCAGGCCCAACGCCTGGTAGCAGGGAAGCATTGGTTTCCAGACTTGTGTTTCATCAGAACTAGGACCCACTGCAGCCCCACCCGAGAGATGTTTCACGCTTTCACAGCCGTGACCGGGCAAGAAACACGTGTCTCATACACTACAACTGCGCCCTGTGACCCTTCCCTGGTCCACATAAGGTCCCATTGAGAACGAGGCGGAAGGTACTGTAGTGAAAGGCGTGCAGGAGAGGTTTGATCTAGGTGCAAAGAAGCTCTTCCTCATTCTCTGGGTGACAGCGCCAGGACCCAGTCATACAGTGGACTTTGGAGAGCTGGAAGCAGACACCAGCACCCATCACCCCTCAGGGGGAGCAGGTCCCCCTCCGGGCTCCCCTCCTGGGTGTAGAGGGACTTACCACCAAGCGTGTATTTCTGCATGATGTTATTGTTTCCAATCTGGATTTCCTTAGAATGTGTAATGGAAACGTAGCCATGCGGGACGATCAGGTTGATGGACCGTGACTGGGAAGTGTTTTCAGTGGACTGAGTTTTCTTTCCAGACTCTTCTGCAAAAAAAAAAAATTTAAAAATTATATATATATATATATATATATATATATTTCACTCAGCCCCTGAGGGCACCTTTTAGCTAAAGAACAGATTGATTTCCAAAGCATATCAGCTGTGAGGGTTGTACTGCTTTACAAAGAATCACTCGGATGAGACCAAACAACAAACAGCCAAAGAGGAGATGGCAAGTAAGTGAACAGGGAGACCAGATGGACAGAAACAGAACAACCGGACTAGAACAGGCAGTGTGCAGAAAGTCACCAGGGCTGCTGATGGTGAAGCAATTGCTGAGTGGTGAAGCAATTGTGAAGCAATTGCTAAATAGGAACCTAGTCTCGGCTGTAAACCTTCACCGAAAACACAACCAAGTATTCTTTACAAGTAGCCTTTCACTCCGCCTGCATCTCTCCAAGGGGGCAGGGGTTGCGAATCCCAATAGGCTGTGCCAACACCTCCTAGGGGGCTGAGCAGACCACACATTCCCAGGCCCCTGAATCAGAGTCCAAGCGGGGACCCTGGAAACAGCACGGTTTGCAAATGCAGCTGTTGCCTCTCAGATGGAGTGTGGCTGGGACACCCCTGTGGCAAGTATGCTTCCTGTGTGTGGCCACCCCCACAGCCAGGCCAGCTGGACTGTAGGTGGCCCCACACTGGTCCCCTGCCCACCCAGCCACGCACAGCTCTGACCACTGAGCTTCAAGACCCCTTCTCCCTTCAGTGGTGGCTGCAGAGGGCCACCCACAGACCACGTCTGGCCACACTTATTTCTGGTGTGCACAGCATTTTAAGGGATTCAGATTTGTCACCCATGTTTCAGATCTGACTGCGGTCCCTTCCTCCCAGCAGTCTGAGGGTGCTGACAGCCCCAGGGGGGCCCATGAGCTGGGGTCTCCCATCTCTACAGGGCCGGAATGGAAACTTCAGGGGGTCTCCCTCCACAAAGCAGCATTGAAACGTCTGTGTTATACTGGGATGGCTATAAAGACGTGCTTCAATCCAGGAGCCCTGCTGGTGTAGTGGTGACAAGTTGTGCTGCTATCTGCTTGGCCGGCAGTTCAAAACCACCAGCAGCTCAGCAGGAGAAAGACTGAGCTTTCTACTCCCCTAAACAGTGACAGTCCCGGGAACCCACAGGGGGTCTCTAAGAGTCAGCACTGACTCAAGGCAGTGAGTTCCGTTTGGAAATCCAGACTGGTTCATGATTTAATAAAAAACCCGCTGTCATCAAGCGGATTCAACTCATAGTAACTCTAAAACACAGGGTTGAACGGAGACTTTGTGCAGGAGTGGAAAGCTTCATTTCCCCCACAGAGCTGCTGGTGGTTTCAAACGGCTGGCCTTGCGGGTAGCAGCCCAACACGTAGCCACACCACCACCAGGGCTTCTGGTTCACGATTCCAACCAAAAAACCACGCCACGAGTGGATGCCGACTCATAGCAACCTTACAGGACAGGGTAGAACTGCCCTGTGAGTTTCCGAGCCTGTAATTCTTTTATAGAAATAAGCATCATCTATCCGTGAACTGGGGAAAGGTTTTTTCCTGGCTTGCGGTTAGACGTTTGGTATTTCTATAATGCTAGACTCCTGTGCCCAGCAGTGCATCCAGCAAGATCACGGGGGGTGGGGTGGTGGTGGTGGT